CAGCAAAGAAAACTGCTCAGGAATGAACTTGCACTTATTTTTATTTACTTCTTTTGACTCTGCTTTCTTCTTCAGTTGTACACAATACTTTGGAGCATATGTCAAATCTTTAAATGGTGCAAGGTTCTGTTTATATAAGTCAGTCGTATATGTGAAAAGTTCTCCATAAGAAATAGGTTCGAAATATTTGCACTCCCACAATGTTTTCATAACATTCCATAACGGTGTGTTCTATCATAACGAACTACATATTTGTTCTCTCTCTTTGTATATATTTTCATCTGTTTCTCAATGTTCATTCCACCACAAGCTTTGAGAATTTCTATATAGTTGCGAATGAAATATGTTGTCATTGGTAATCTTTCGTTTAGCATGTAGTGGTCTTCAACAAGAAGTAAGTCAATAGTTCGAACAGTTTCACATTCTTTTGGTATGTATCTCTTTATTTCATTATGTCTTGAGTCATTGAAGTAACCAATGGTAACATTAAATGCTATACCTGTTGCGTCAGAAATTTCTTGTACTTTACTTTGAGGAAAGTCTCTAACACGAATGACTTCTCTCATGTGGTCAATAGTTTCTTCATCTACTCCAGCCTGAATGCAAGCATAAACGAAACAATTGTCTTCTGTCATAAGTGTTGCAGTTCTTTTGTTCAGTTCATTGAAGATTTGGTAGCGTTCAAGATTTATAGGTAATGTGCAAAGATACTTCCAGAACTGACCGCTTCTCTTCTTATAAAACTTCTTTTCACCATTATCTTTCCAAAAGCTTTCTATAAGTGCTGGGTTTCCTGTTTGCTTAAGAGCTTCCAAAATGGCTTTCTGGTCATTTGTCAGTGTGCTTTCATCTCTATATGGTCTCTTTTTTGGTTTGCCTTTCTTTACATCTGACATCGTTAAGCCTTCATATTCTGTTAAATCATACATCTTTATTTCGGTAAGATTCTTTATGTTTGTCAAGAAGAAGTCATAGTGCATTTCAACAATACCTGCAGCATTTGCTTCTATCTCTGATATAAAGTTCTCCTTCAAGAGCTGATGTAGTAATGTTCCAATATTATTGAGGTTTAACGTAGAACATTCATACTTTCCACCAAGTTTATAACATACCATCCATCTCTGTTGTGAGTTTATTTTAATCTTCTCTAAGAGTCTCATGAAAACCTTACCGAAATGTTTGTGTAAGTAGTCTCTGTTTGGTTCATCTAAAGCTTCGATGTTAAAGTCAATGAGTCTATTGCCTGACTTCACATTTCTCTTCCTATTCTCTTCATCTTTCTTTAACCATCTCTCACCTTCTTTTGGTTTGTCGTCAATGGAACGAATGACATCGTTAGCTTTGCGAACTTGTTCTATAGCGCTCTTAAACATCTCTCTTCTCTGTTGTTTCAGTGTGTCGTCTCTTCTTCTTGTTTCACCAACGTTCGCATTTGTTATGTCAAACATTTCTTGACGAACATCATGTGAAAGAGCTTTACGAGTATGACCAACGTTTGCATTTGTTATGTCAAACATTTCTTGACGAACATCATGTGAAAGAGCTTTACGAGTATGACCAACGTTTGCATTTGTTATGTCAAACATTTCTCTTCTTACTTCATGAGGTATTGAACGTCTATGATATAAGTCAATAGCAACGTCATTTAAAGGAAAAGTTTTGTTATTAATGTAATCATGAATTCTATCATAACTTATTGCACCATTATAGTCTTTAATGAAGTCAGTGAGTGCTTTTTTGTTTGTTGCGTAATGCTTTGCAACATCTATGTTAGCTTCTGTAAGAAGTTGTTTTATTTCCGAGTGTTCTAACTTAGACAACTTCCGATACATCTTTAGTAGGAAATAAAAAAAAATATTTTTGAAAAAATTAGATTAGATTTTTTTTAAGTTATTTTTCAAAATAATTTAATATTTTTATTATAATGAAACACATGCAAGATTGCAAGTTCTTTTCATACAATGCTCTCGCTAATGCCATCAAGAATGAGTTCAATGGTGCTTCAAACGTTAATGTTATCTTTAACAAGAAGTTTGTGAAAGAATCTAAGTTTGGTCAGTATGTCAGACCATTAGCTATCGTCATTGACCGCAAACGTTATACTTCACAAGAGTTAGCAGTAGTTTTGAAACAAAAGAGTTTCTTCGTGAATGTCAAAGATACTCATTATACTGTTATAAAGAACTCTAACATTGACTTCTTCAGTATTGCTATGAATCTTTCCGAACAGAAAGAATATAAGAAGGGTGAAACAAATGTGAAATATTATCCTTCATCTCTGAAGACAATAACGAACAAAGATGTTATACAGAAATTCTTACCAAAGGTTGAAGAAGCTTCAATTGACATTGACGAAGGAAGTGAAATGGTTGAAGAAATTGACCCTGAAGCTATTTAAGCAAAAATATATTTTTGGTTAGTCTTCATATGGATATTTTACAACAATTCCCCAATGTATAAACTTTTCATACGCTTTTTCATAAGCTTTATATACCTTCAGAAATTTTGCATAATCTTTAGAAGCATTTAGATATTGTTTAAATGCTTTGTATGTCTTCATAAATTTTGCATAATCTTTTACATGCTGTTCGTTCTCCTCTTCTGTCATGAGTTCCGAATATTCTAAATTCATGTTCTTTCATATGAGATAAAATTTTATAAAAAAAAAAATAAAATTAGCTTAGATTTTCATTCTTCCTCTTTGAAGTTATCGAAATACTCTGTTATTTTTTCCTTTAACAATGGTAAGTCTTCTTTGAATGTAAGTATTGTGCAACCTTTGATGTCATAGTGTGTTTGAGGAAGAGTATTTTTGACAATTTCCTTTATTTGCTCATTCGGTGTCATTGAAATCGGTAAGTTTTCACGATAGAACCAGTTTCTGTCAGATTTATATATCTTAGCGAGGTCGTAAAAGCTTTTGTTGTTTCTTCTGACTAAATGCAACATAACCATATCTCTGTCTTCTTCATTTTCCATCTCTTCAGTATATATCATATACTTATAACTCTTTTCCTTTCCTTTTGGTACTGAACGCGGTATTCTTTTCTGTATGCTTTTGTCTTTGGATTCAATGACTTCATCTTTTGCATGAAGTTTCTTTTCCATATCTTCACGTTCTTGTCTATGAATTTCGTCAAGAAGTTTACAAACATACCAAGCATAACGAGGTGAAGCCCACATTGCTACAGCATTTACGAGAAGTCTATGAACATAATATCCTCTCAAACCGTTTGGCAATTTTTCACGATTTTCATGAGTTTTAGGCGACTGGGGTTTTATACCCACTCGCTGTGCTTCGCTGTTTTCAGAAAAAAGTATGTCTCGCTGTGCTTCATTTAATAGTTCAATAGTGCTTTGGTTCCTAAACCAGTCTTTAGGAAGTTTAGTATCTGGAGCAAAACATGCTGTCAAAATACTTTGCATTTGGTACATATCGTCTTTGACCGAACGAATGAGACGTAACTGTTTGTTAAACTGTATGTACTCATATTCTTCATTTATGGCTTCATGAACGATAGCAGTTGTTGTGTTCTCTAATGTTGTCATTACTGTCTTTACATACAAAATAAAAAAATAAATAAAAATAAAATTAGCGTTATTTTTTCTGAGATAAACACTATTTCTTCACAACATTAAATTTTATCCTGTATGAAATGACTTTAAAAAGATTATTGACTGACTTCGAATACTATCTCATTGACGCACTGACAGACCCTCAAAACTGTGTTGAAAGTTCTTTAAGCTTTAAGATTGAAGGTACGACGCATTTTGTCTTCACTTATGTATTGAAAGAATATGACCGTTATCATAACGAAGTGAATCAAACACTAATAAAATTTGTAGATAAAAAATTGGTTAACAATGAATATTTTAAACGTGAAGACCCAAACACTGCTGGAGATGATGAAGAATACAGACAAGCTATTGAAAAAAATAACGCAAGATTAGATGCAATAGAAAAGAATTTTAATGAATGTCTTACAAACACGTATGAATATCTTATGCGGTGGGAAGCTAGATGGAAATAAATTTACGTCAAATATGCAATTTATAAAATCTTATGTCGACAGGCTACGTAGCACAGTGGTCTAAGGTGGTGTTATGGAGGGGTCAGAGTCTGTGGTTCGAACCGCGACAGCGCCGTATTTTCTTATTTTCTTTGTTTGTCTTGTTTGTCGTGAATAAAAAGTGTCATAAAAGTGCTCTATTTTCCACGGGAATAAATAAAAAATTTACTTTATTTCTTCTTTATTTCTTCTTTATTTCTTTGTTCCCGTGGAAGAAGGGTTTTGCTGTTTTTCTCAGCCGAAATCAATGATTTTTTCATTTTTGGAATCCTTAGCGAATGAGGAATCTTTTCTCTCGTGGAAGCTTTGACCAAAAATATATTTTAGGTGAAGAGGTGAGATCTCACCTAATTTTTCACCTAATTTTTCACCCCTTGAACTTTTTATAACATTCGGTCATAACTTCATCAATTTCATTTAAATCACGATTTAAAAACTCATTGACTTCATCTTCAACCGTGTCATCTTGTAATAAGAATATTTTCTTTAGTTTCATGTCAACATCCCGAACAGCACAAAGGATAAAATCATATTCATTTCTTCCGTTAAACATACTTTTTCTTTCTCGTTCATCGTTAAATAAATTATTGAAAATATAAACAGCGGTGTAAAAGTTATGTACTGTGTTAAATGTTGAAGCTTCACCTATTTTAGATTTTAGGATTCTTTTAGTAAGTAAATTGTTATCGTTCTTTCTCTTTTCCTTATCGTTCATGTCGAATCTGTCGAACCACATATCCTGTATTTCATCGAATTTACGAACTATAGAATTCGTCATTTCCCTGGTTAATGAGGGGTAATCATTATTAATTTTTTCATATAATTTGTCCATATGATTTTCATCGACGTTTCCGGAAAGCATTTAATTAAAGCAAAAATAATGTTTAGGTGAAGAGGTGAGATCTCACCTCTTTTTTCACCCCAGTTTTTTCACAAGCGTTTTACATGAATTGTACGATGTATATTTGAAATCCTAAACAATTTCGTAGCTTCTATTTCTTCTGTCAGTATGTCAAAAGTTTTAACAATACCGAAAGTCTCTTTATACTTCTTCTTGACGTCAGATAGAAGGAAATCTTCTGCTGTTGGATAGTTTTTGTTCAGAAATTCTAACATGTTCATTTTATCTTCTGCTGGCTTTTCTGCTTCTTTCTTTAAGTCTGCATAGTCGTTTCTCATTCTTTCTATCTCTTTGACTGAGTAGTTATATTTCCTAATTGCTGCCTTACATTTTGAACATTGCGGGTTCATTTTTGCGTTATACATTGAAATAAAACCAGCTAAAACAACTAAGGCGTCAATGGTTTTCTTCATCTCAAACATAGCGGGTCTTATTTGTTCGTTCCATACTTTGCCTCTTCTATCTTTATCTCTTATTTCCCAAACACATTTTGCAACTAATGAAACAAAGTTATCGTAAGTCTTAAACTCCTCAGATTTATATATGTCAGAAACATTCTTATATACCATGTCGCAATCTTTGTCCATAACCTTATGGTTGCAATGAAAACCAAGGAATTCATAATTTACTTTACGTATGAACTTCTTTATTTCTACTGAGTCAGTTGGTTTCACTTCAATTTCGTCGAATTCAGGAATAGTGAGTTTTTGTTGTTGGATTTCAGGCAATTTGGGTAAATGGTCAATAATGTCCTGCATTTCATAAAGATATTCTTCATTTTCTTCATCTTTCGCACTACAGTCTAAATTACTTGTTAAAAGTTCTTGCTTTATCTTCTGGATTTCTGTTTCAAAAGTATATGAAGAAGGAATGAAGTTTTTCATCTCTACTAACATTGACGTAGGATTCATGACTAACGAGTTTGGTGCTGTTGTTGTGGACAGAGTCCCGCCGTTCGCGGCTTGAATTGTTGTTGTGCCGATTGTTGAAATCATATCTTTTATACAAAATAAAAAAAATAAAAAAAATAAAACTAACTTTATTTTTTCTATCTTAAGGAAATTCATGAAAATTCAAGAGGTGAAAAAGAGGTGAAAAAACAGGTGAGATCTCACCTCTTCACCTAAATTATATTTTTTGGTGAATTCAATAAAAATAAATGGTTCATTTACTCACAATATTTTTTTACAAAACGACCCCAAACTTTTAACTTCTTTTCTGCAGCTTCAAATGCTATCTTAGCGAGTTCATATTCTCTAAATTCTCTCTTTAAATCTTCTTGTTCCCATTGGTCTAGTTCGTATGGAGAATCTCTATAACCATAATATATCTCACGTTCATGTTCTAATTGTTTTTCACACATTTTTCCAACTTCTTCTTCGAACAAAGGTTTAGCATTCTCCACTGTATCTTCGAGTTCTTCTTCATCTAACTTCTCATGAACTTTCTTGTCTATGGAGTCCATAATATCTTTGACATAAAATGCATACTTTACAGAGCACCATTCAGCAACAAAATGAACGAGGTCAGCATGTATGTAAATACCTTTGAATTCATTCATAACGCCCTTAGTAAGCTCATAAAATGCTTGTTTTGAGGTTGAGCCACTTTTGGCTCGACCGTATTCTTTCAACCAAAACTCAAGAATTTCCTGCATTTTAGCACTATTGAGAAATCTGTTTAAATGGTTTAACTTTCCTGCTTCTCTTGCCATCTTTGTTGCATTAATGTAACCATCCTTGTCTCTACGTAAGACTTCAATACCGTTATAAGTGCCTTTTGTGAATGTTTCACCATTAGATTTGTTCGTGAATGTTTTTGCTTCGACTGACATTATTGTCTTTACATACAAAATAAAAAAATAAAAAAAATAAAACTAACTTTATTTTTTCTATCTTAAGGAAATTCATGAAAATTCACGGGGTGAAAAAAGAGGTGAAAAAACAGGTGAGATCTCACCTCTTCACCTAAATTATATTTTTGTCTGATTTACATCTAATGAAAAAGTTTAGAAGAATTTTCTTATTCTTTCTGGCATATTTTTGTCTTTCCAGTACTCCCGCTCTAATGGTCCCAGATGTGTTGGCTTCGACTCTCTCAAGTTCTTAGATGGTATAACATCTTCAACGCCTCCTTCATATCTTACTTTATAAGTGTCATCGTTTGTGTTATAGCCAAGTATTTCAATAACCACTCCTCGCTTTGCTTCGTCAATGGTTTCAGCAAGTTTGCCATTACTACTTTCGACTAATTTATGTCGAGGATAAAACGCAATAGAGTCGTCGGCAGCTTTTATAAGATATCCATTACCTTGCGTAGAGTCTACGATATAATAATTTCGACTTAACCTTAAACGTTTCTTTGTCAACGGTTTGTCGTCAAGAACTACACGAACTTTTGTACCAGGAATGAGGGTAAATTGTGTTGAATTTCTGATATTTTGTGTTTGGCTTCGTTTCTTTTGTATATACTTTTCTTCTTGTTGTTGTGTCATTGAATTTGGTGTATGTCCTGTTGTAGAATGTGTTGAGGAATTATATACTTCGAGAAAATGTTTCATTGTTTCTTCGGTAAAGTCTCGCTCTTGGTTTAAATCTCTGAGAGTCCTTATGAAGCGGTTTATGATGCCGAGTATGTTATGGTTATGGTCTTCAGTAGTGTAGTGAGTTATGTTATGTTTAATGAGAAATTCTGTGATTTCATTGCTGAGGTATGCACTGTCTTGGTCTGATGTTAAAGTACTTGGGTTATGTTCTGCTACAAACTTTTGTAAAACTCTTAACACTTCACGAGTTCCTTTATTTTTCATTGGATATGCATATGCTTTACGAGTGTTAACATTTATGAAGATGAGGAATGGTTTATGTCCTCCTTTTCTGCTTTGAATGAGAGTGTCAAATTGGTATGCGTCAGGAGTGTTGGAGTAAATTGGTAAAAAGTAGTCGTAAGGGTTTATTTTTGTTTGATGTACAACATTTTTGTCAAAGAACCTTTTCACTTCAGCTCTGTTAGTAAATCCCCGACTCTTTGCAGCTTCATTGAACTTCTTAAATGACCTCCATGGATGTTGTTCGAATACTTCTTTCAAGCTCATTTATGTAAAGTTAAAGATTTTAACCAACTCGTATCCAAGCGTGCATTGTTATATAAGGAGGCATATAATCTTTTCCATTACCTGCTGGGTCTGTAATACCAGCTACAACATGTGTATGATTTCCTGCAGTTCCACAGAAAATACCTGTGCTTGAATCTACTGGGTCAGTTGAAATATCATATCTATGCATTCCCTGTCTATCCGAACCCGCTGCAAGATTTGTATAACCTCTTTTTGTTATTGAATGTGAATGGTTTCCTTCCACAGATGTTCTTCCACTGAACCTATGCATATGTGAAGGAAGGTTTTCAATACCTATTTTCTTTGAACCTCCCATCTTCATTGACTGCGTATTAGTGTAGAATGGAAAACTGTCAACTATTTCATACCATCTACCACCAAATAAAGTGTTTGGATTTATTGGATTCATAGACGTATAAACAGCTCCTATAGGATATATTAAATCATATATGCTCATAACTCTATAAACATATTCTAAAGAACTTATGTCATTAAATACCATTTGGAATGTATCTCCCGGATGAAATGTTGCATTTGTTCCACTTTTATAATGTAATGTTAGTTCAATAGAATTATCCAAGAAAAATTCAAAAGTATCTGGTTGAAGACCTCTAACAAATTCAAATGGAGTTGCTGGTTCACCATTTATAATTTCTGTTGTAAATGTCATTGTATCTGGTTTCGAAAATTTCTTTGTTAGTTCTGCATCCACATAAGTTTTATCTGCTTTCTTATCTAACATTGTTGGTAGTTCATGTGCTTCAAAGTTTCTGGCATGACTTTCAATGTTCCTGCAACTGTTATCTAAATTGTTTAGTGTATCTTTTACGCTTGTACTTGGATTTTCTAATGGTGCACTTGAACCAAGGTCAAAGTTCAATATTATGTCGTCTGCTCTAACAGTAGTGAAGGCTTTATGTGTATGGTTCTTGTCAGCTTTACTGTCTAATGTAGCTTGAAGTTCATTTATATCGGAGATGTTGTGTTTATGAGATTTCAAAACTTTGTTCATTGCTTCGAGTTCAACTTTGTCAGCTTTACTTTTAATAGCATCTTCAAACGTTATTTTTGCCTTAACTCTCAAAGTAAATCTTGGTTCAACTAATACACCGTTAACATTGAAAGTAGAGGCATAAATTTCACCGGTATAACCAAATGCTTCTGGTGCTTTAGCTACATCATACTGTACAGTACAGCTTATGTCATAACCTTTAGCACGAATGTATTTATATCTTCTTTCATTAACATTTTTTGTCTTCGCTTCATCACTTCGTGTTAAATATCCATGGTAGTCCGTTATAATCTGTTCGTCTGAAGTTATATAATGAACATGGTTCTTGTCCGCTTTACTATTTAATGTAGCTTGAAGTTCATTTATATCGGAGATGTTGTGTTTATGAGATTTCAAAACTTTGTTCATTGCGTCAAGTTCATTTTTGTCCGCTTTACTATTTAATGTAGCTTGAAGTTCATTTATATCGGAGATATTGTGTTTATGTTCTTTATCTGCTTTTTCGGCTAATTTCTCTTCTATCTCATTTATTTCAAGTTCATGCCTACCACCACCTCCCGAAGAAGTATTTTTCTTCAGCTCTTGAAGAACGTCCACTTCGCCATCTTTGGTGTCAATAATGAGACTTTGTGTTAAAACCTTTCCTGTCTTAATGGATGTTTGTAAAACTTCTTCTTCACCGTGTTCGGGGTCATGGTCGTCATCATATCTTGTGAAATCAGATATGTTGTCATACATTAAACATATCTGTCTCAAAAGTTCTGCTATTTGAAACTGGAACGAAAGATATACAGAACTTTCATCATCTCCTAAAGTCAAGTCTGCTTTCTTAAGTATTTCTTGAATGTATGCAATGAGAACAGAGTACCTTGGAAAATATTCGAACAATATTTCATTAGCTGTTGGTTTTGGTGGTTCTTCTGGAGTTTCTGTTGTTTCAGTTCCTTCTGTAGGTTCTGTTGGAGTTTCTGCATCTCTTGACTTCAATGCTCTTGCTCTCAAAGACCTAAATGTTAGAGCACCGGGTTTTACAAAGGACTTTATAAATGCTTTAATAGTTCCTGGTAAGTTATTGTTAGCATTAAGTAAGTTCCTTATGCTTCCATCATGTACGTCCATAGCACTATGTAAAAAATCTATACTTTTCTTGTAGTCAGCAATAGACTGACTGTGATTTTTTAAAGATTTGTCAATACCTTTAAGCCAATCTTCATGCATGTCTGATACTGAGCCAAGAATATCATTTGCTTCCTTTAGTGTATTTTGTGCTTGTCGTAAAGTATCCAATCCCGTACGTGCATTGTTTGCTATACGTCTTACAGTATCTATTTGACTCCTTGTTTCTTGCATCCAACCAGATAAAGTTTTAATAGTATCCGAACCATTTGAAATGAAGTTCAAAGCATTTTTAACGTCATTTAAAACTTCTTCACCAAGTACCGCCCATATCTTTCCGATTTGGTATTGAAGAACTCCATATGAAGCAGCTGTTAAACCAGTATTTATAAGGTCCCATATCCATGATTTAGCAGTTTTTCCATCCTTTCCATCCTTTCCATCCAAACCGTTTTCGCCTTGAGGTCCTTGAATTCCTTGATTCCTTGTATTCCTTGTATTCCTTGTGGTCCTTGAGGTCCGGTGTCACCCTTCTCTCCTTTCAGTTCATCTTTATGTTCGTTATAATATTCTAATGTCATAAGGTGTACATCATTACTGCTACCAGCAACGCCAAGAATTTGTTTCTCATTCATGACTAAATTCTTTAGGCATTTAATGTTGTCGTCAAATCGAAAGCTCTTTAACAATTCAATGAGAACATTTAATACTTTCACTAATGAGGCATCTACTGTAGAATTTATATATTGCAC